ATTCGGTCACTCCAGCTCCCTCAATAAGTGTACTTGACCTTCCTCCTGAACCCACTTTACGTCGTTCCACTAGAACCTCTCGTCTACCTAACCGTTATGGTTATTCACCAGACCATAGCTCCTTTTCTGTTGTTTTATCTACCATAGACATTCCCAGATCTTACCAACAGGTCGTAGAAAAACCACACTGGAAAGATGCCATGGATTTCGAGATTTTGGGGAGGTGTTGAAAATGATAGGTTTTGCCAGGAAACTAAAAGAGGCTAAAAGAAAAAATAAAAGATTGGAATAAAGCCCATTTTAGAAGGTTAGAAGAAATAAAAGATAACTTGGTGGAGAGGATCGAGGAGCTAGATAGGAAAGAGGCTCTCAGAGTTATTTCAGAAGAAAGAGGGAAAAGATGCAATGAAAAGCAAAAATTGGAAGAGATCTTATGAAAGGACGAAATTTGTTGGAAACAGAAATCAAGGTGTTAGTGGTTCATACAAGGGGATGGAAACACTAAGTTTTTTCACTTTCTTGAAAATGGAAGGAGAAAAAAGAATTTAATCCTCAGTGTGGAGGAGGGACAAGTGGTAAGAGAAAGTTAGGAAATTACAAGGATTTTTCTAAATCATTTTAAGGAAATTTTCTCAAGCCCACATGGAGTGATGCTAGACTTGCCAGAGTTGGAAGGGGATGTTTTGTCAGAAGAGCAACCTCTCGCTCGCTCTAGAAAGGAGATTTTCTTTGCAAGGAATCAAGGAAGCAATTTTTTTAATGGATAGGTCTAAAGCCCCTGGGCCGGATGGTTTCTCCATGGCCTTCTATCGATAGTGTTGGGGTATGGTGAAATCAGACATTTTGGAAGTCTTTAACGAATTCTTCTCCAAAGGAGAGGTTTCACCAGGAGTAAATGCCACATTTATCACTTTGATTCCAAAGAAGAGGGAGGCCAAAGCTCCTAAAGACTTTAGACCAATAAACCTCATCGAGAGTGTAGAAAATTCTTACAAAGGTCTTACCAAAAAGACTAAAAAAGGTGTTACCCTTGATTATCTCTCCTTTCCAAGGTGCTTTTGTAGAAGGAAGGCAGATTGTGGATCAAATCTTGGTGGACAATTAATGCGTTGTGGAAAGAAGAAAGGGTAGAGAAAAGGTGCTGGTTTGTAAAGTAGATCTAAAAAAAGCCTATGACCTGGTTAATTGGGAAGTCCTCCTAAAAATACTAGAAAGACTAGGATTTGGAGTTAGATGGAGGTCTTGGATTAAAGGATGCTTAAGTTCAGCTCATTACTCAATCCTAATCAATGGTGCAGCAAAGGACTTCTTCTTGGCTAGGAGAGGAATTTGGCAAGGTGATCCACTATCCCCATTCTTGTTTACCCTAGTGGCAGAAGTGTTAAGCAGAATGGTTGCAAAAGCTGATGATCAAGGCCTTATTAGGGGTTGGAGGGTAGGTAGAAATCAGGTGATTATTATCCATCTCCAATTTGCAGACGACACCATCTTTTTTTGTGAAGGAAACAATGTGGAAGTGGTGGAAAATCTGAGGGTGCTGCTGAATAATTTTGTGGGAGTGACAGGGCTGAGGATAAATTGGACCAAATGTGGAATTGTAGGGGTCAATTTGGAGGAAGGAGAATTAATATGATTTGTTGAGATCTTGGGGTGCAGGATCAGAAGCTGGCCTATCAGTTACCTGGGTCTACCTTTAGGAGGAAACCCTAGGTCAGTTGGGTTTTGAAACCAATTTTAGAAAGGTTTGATCGGAAGTTAGCCATGTGGAAGAAGATTTATATTTCTTTGGGTGGAAGAATAACCTTGATTAGAGCCACACTAGCAAACCTCCCCCACCTATTTCCTTTCAACCTTTAGAATCCCTTCTAGGGTAGCAAGGTGCTTAGAGAAGTATATGAGAGATTTCCTTTGGGATCTAGGAGAGGAAAGGAAGGACCATTTGATCAAGTGGGAGGAGGTTAGCAAACCTAAGGAACAAGGGGGTTTAGGAATTGGGAACATCCTATTAAGGAACACAACTCTACTAGGTAAATGGCTTTGGAAGTTTCCCTTTGAGAGCGACAGACTATGACATAAAATGATTGAGAGCATTCATGGGGTGGATGGAAATGATTGGGATGCAAAAACTTCCCCTCACAGTTCTTCGACTTCTCCTTGGAATGCAATTCATGAAATCTACCCTATTTTCCTCAATTCCATCCGGTTTGATGTGAGACAAGGTAATAAAATTTTGTTTTGGGAAGATCTATGGGTAGGGGAAACCCCACTTAAAGACCAATTTCCTTATCTCTTTGCGCTATCTAACCTCAAGGGGGAAGGTATATCCATGTTGGGAACACCGTGTCCAAATGGTGTGAACTGGAACTTGGACTCTAGAAGGGGACTAGGGAAAACCCCACTTGGACCCTTCACTAGAAGATTCTAGAATCTAGGTAGGCTCTCTAGATGATCTCTTTTCTTGCTATTCTTTCTTCAGAATACTTTCTTCCCCCAACCCCCTAGGTGGGGATTTACCTATGAAAGAAATTTGGTGCATGCCTATTCCCTCGAAGATTCAAGCCTTCTGCTGGGAAATATTCCTTGGTAAGGTAAACAGTTGCGATATGCTGCAGAGAAGAAGGTCATACGTTTGCCCTTCTCCTCATGTGTGCTCTGTGTAAGGAAAGTGGTGAGACCCTATCTCATTTATTGATATCCTGATATCCTGTTCTTTTGTGTTTCGAATTTGGGAATTCTTTTGTACTCTCTTTGGCTGCAGGTGGGTTCACCCTCAAGATGTAGTAGGACTCTTCAACCGTGACTTCTTGAGACAACAAAAGAAAAGAGGGATAGTAATGTGGAAAACACCAAAGGCAGCAATTTGTTGGGTAATATGGAAAGAGAGGAATAATAGGATTTTCTTGGAAAAAAGCAAAAAAGTAGAGGAAGTGATTGATAGCATCAGGGTGAAATTATCTCATTGGGTAAAAACCCTTGAATAGCTTTCAAGTCTTCTTAGTCACAGACATTCTAAGAACCTCGTCTGAAGTAGCAAAGTCGTCAAGAGTAAGAGATAAAGTAAGGCTGGAGTGCAAACCACCAGAAAGCAATAAAGTTAAACTGAATTTTGATGGGAGCTCCTTTGGAAATCCGGGCATTTCAGGAGTGGGAGGAGTATTCAGAAATTCTGAAAGGAGGATTTTGGGTATGTCGTTAGGACCGATTGGCACCGGAAACTCATTGAAGGCTGAACTTTTGGCATTACTACAAGGGATGAAGATAGTCAAACAGTTAGGATAGAGACATGTTGAGGTGGAAGGGAACTCAAAAGTAGTAATTTCCTGGGCAGCAAACAGCAGCCATACCCCGTGGATGTTTAAACATGTGATTAGGGAAGTGGAAAAGATTGCAAAGGAGGTTGAGGCTGAATTTAAATGGGTCCGAAGAAGTGCAAATGGGCTAGTTGATGTTTTAGCAAAACAGGGGGCATTGAGACAGCAACTATTTTGGGCTGCACTGTAATGAGGGATAGAATAGAGTGATTAAAGGGATCAACAGTCCCATCACCAAGTTGTATAAACTGTTTACAATCTGAAATTTAATAAAATACATGTTTACTGATTAAAAAAAGTAAATTAGGACTGTCAAAGGGTCGGGTATGGGTAGGGATAGGGTGCCCAGTCCTGAACCGATTATTAATTGGGACAAACTCATAAACCCTTAACCGTCCTGATTAATAGTCGTGTCTGACCTGATAGACCCGATTAGATTATATAAATAACAACATTAAAACTTAATTTTTCATAATATAACTCTAATAAAAATGACAGTAAAATACTAAATTATTTATATGTTAATGATTGAAGTGTTTTTAACTAAAATTATCTTACATATTATCTATCAAATTTGCCCTTTCAGACATAAATATAATAAAAATTATAAGAAAACTAGGAAATCTTTATGTTATTAATAAAATAATTGGTTTGGAACAAGCAATAACCAGAACTGATCCAATTATTACTTGGAGAAAAATCCTAGAACCAGAACCGACATAATCGGTTCGGTTGGTTCAGTTCTTTCGGGTAGACCTGATAACCCTAATAGTGAATTAGAGTCCTTGAACACTTGGGCAACATAGGCTGGACCAATCATGTGGAGGAGCTACCAAGTTATAAAAAGCCATAACAAACTGGGATTTGGTTTCCATCTCTATCTGATACATGTTGAATATCCCGGGGTTTCTCAGCCAAAGGCCACCATCTATGGTGCATGATGAACTGCATCCAGTGCAACAGTAAAATAACTTGTAGAAGTAGCAATCTAGTAGGTTTATTTTTGTTTCCTTGTTTGGCTAAAACATTTCTCTAGCCCTAGTTACTTTGGTAAATTTGAAAATCTGAAAACAATAAGACCCCAATGTGGGCATTGAGTACCATCAATATGTGCCATGTGGAAACCCACCATCGCCTAAGATGTGACTTAATGCATTACCAATGTTGACAGGTTGGGTGGGTTGTGTTGGATGGATGGATTCCACCTATTTAGTTTCTATTTAAATGAGTCATTAATGGGTTGATGGGTTAGGTGGACGGATTGAAGCTCAACCCAAACCCAACCCGCCCAACTCCCACTCTTCTTAGGGATGAAACAGATTTCTATTAAATGGCATTTTTATTTTCTTCCTTCTTTTCTTTTGGGGGTGGGGGGAGTTTCAATATCTGTTTTTTCCACTTCCCTGGAGTCCAAAACATATTTTAGACCATATTGAGAGTTTACATGGACATCTTGTTTTTTCCCTTTTCTGAACATCTTGTTTAATTATGAACAGTTTTGTTTCCTAAGCTACAATTGGTTGTATTTTGTTTTGTACTGACTAGTTGTTTCCTTGGTTAATTCTCCTTGCTAGCCTTGTCTTTAAATTTGTTACCCATCAAAAATTGAGAAAGAGAAACGTGGAAATCTCCCAAAAAACATTTTCATTATTTGTGATGTAATTTTTCCTGTTTTCTGCATGTATGCAGGCTGCCTTGCGTGGCCTTTGTGAAGACTTGGATATTCCTTTTCAGCCAGCCATGCTCAAGTATGCAAAGTTTGTTATTCAATTACTAAAATAATGCCCATGATACGGTGTTTACAATTTTCATACTTGGGCTATATAGGCTATGCTTGTTTTATGAATATAATATACAACTACAATGTTCACCCGAGCTCAGTTATCTTTCCAGAAATTCAAGATGACTACATCTATTATATGTATAGCCTCTAAGTTATTGAAATTCTAATTGGAGTATTTTATTTTTCTTTTGCTGGGATATTAGCTTATGAGCATGTATTAAGATTCTATATCGCTTTGATCATAATGAGTTTAAGACATAGGTACAGTACAAACCAGGCTAACACAGCCTGGTCTCAAAGAGTATATTACTGTATTACATCACAGCCCAAAACAACTTATTTCTAGCAACCCCTTGCTTGGCTAATAAATCTGACAATCTATTTGCAGATCTTTTGGCCCAAGAAAATGTGCTCCAACCTCGCTAGCAATGCATCCAATCTCCCCAATTGCATGTCTGCTGTGAGTCCAAACACCTTAGTTTCTGCTTTGCAGCCATGATATTACCAACATTGAGTTCCTCTCTACCTTCACCCTTCTGACATCTAACTGCGTTACTAGTCTTGTCCCATACAATGGAGACATAATTTCTGCATTTAGGGAGCCTCCAGTCCCTAGTGGCCCCAAATATAGAGCCATAATCAATCCATTTGCATCCCTTATTACACCTCTAATTTCAAAGGGATCTTGATTACCTTGGGATCTTCCATCAAAGTTTTGCTTCACCCTTTTTTCTTTGACGGCTCCCAGTCTTCATGAACTTGAATGGATGCTGTAGAAGAAGCTGCAACTGTACCCCAAACTCTCAGTATGCCATCCACCGTATATTCCTTGAAAATTTCCATTGTTAATCTCTTTGGTTAACTTCCTTCATCAAGATACTAAGTGGTGCTTAGAATGCAGCAGGGGAGTGGATTTAGATCCTACTCCTACCTAATTAAGTGGAACTCAAATGATGACTGCCTTCTGGTTGGAATTTCCATATCCATTAAAATCAAATATTAGCTGCTTCAAAAATCCATTCTGCTCCAAGATTGAACCAAAAAGTGTAGTTCAAAGTTTTTTTGGATTTAACCCCCAATTTCCTCTCCTATTTCCATTTCCACCATGGTCCAAAAAAAACTGACCAAGAGAAAACCTCTTTAGATGTATGATGAATGATAACCCAAATTAAAAATGGTCAAATTGTGTGATATGTATTTTGAAAAATACTTTTAAAAGTTGGTCTGCATTTTGAAAAATGTTCACATAATATTTTCTTGATCAGATGGGAAGCTGGTCGAAAATCAGTTGATGGGATTTGGGCTCCATGGTGGTATAAGAGTGTGCATAAGTCAACATGTTTCACATCAGCAAAACCTTACCCTTTGGTATGTCACTTGTTTGAAAATAGCTCTATGATTCATTAAGAATGGAAAATTTCAGATTTTGTTTCCTAAGGGAAAAAAAAACAGGGGACTTAATACTATTATAAGGTTAGAGACATGGTAAAAGATAGGCAGGGAGGGCACCTTATGAATGATGGTAATGATTGAAAATTGATAAGCATCAATACTAGGGGTGCAAGTCAGGCTGGGTTTCAGCCCTAACCCAACCCAAGTTGTTGAGCCCCCAACCTTATTCTGGTTGTGTTCAGGTTGGCCCCATTTCTTCACTTCTTTTTGCTTTTAAAAAATGTTTTCTCTACTTAAACTTGGGATTGACTGATTAAGATTCACTATATACAGGAACAAGGTTTTGGTGGAACCACACTTATGCTACACTTATAAAGCTTTGGGTTTAACTTTAAAACTATTGATACATCTAATATTACATGCATGTGCACATGCATGGACGCATGAATACTTGCATATGTACATACATACATATTTTTATGATATCTTCATGTGAAAATACATAGGCATGTTTTGATCGGGTTGGGTCAGGTTGCCCAAGGCCTCAACCCTGACCCTACCCAAAGTTAAATTGGGTTCATATTTTACAACCCTAACCCTAACCTGATCTTCAAAACAACCCAACTTTTTTCAAGTTTGGTTTGAGCTAACCTGGCTCAGGTTGCACCCCTAATCTGTACTGCCCAGTAGAATTGGCTCCTGCAGTAAGGACTAACCAATTCCCTCAAACACATCAAGTGCATCTCCAAAGAATCACATTGCATAACTTATATTGCTGTATATTTTTTCCTTATCTTTCAACTCTTTCCAGCCATTTCCATCTTCCCTGTATGACCTATTGGAGCAAAGTCTACCTTTCTATAATATGCTTAGGCGCCATGCAAGGCAGGTATCATCCCTCTTTGGATCACCCTTGCCTCCTCCTAGACTTCCCGTTCCGGCCAATGAAAAGCTGCTTGTTTGGGTTGGTGATGAGATTGTGCCCCGTGAAAGTGCCAAGGTAATCACAATTGAACTGTGAATGGCTTCTAAAGTTTGTAATAGAAAATACATTTTTTCACTTTTTGTGAATGTATATGTACATTTTTTTGTTAATTTTCTGCTTCCTACTATGTGGTTTCTATAAAGGTTTCAGTATTTGACTCAGTTGTTCAAGGAGGTGATGCTGTCTGGGAGGGACTTCGTATTTATGATGGGAAGGTTTTTAAGCTCAATGAGCATTTAGACAGGTCAGCAAAAAGTCTCAGACTGTTCATGATCAGAAAATATACTCCTGTTAACTATTATATTTGGCAATGTTTTGAATATCTCTTTTGAGGATTTTTTTTTTCATAAAAGTTAGCCATAAAAATTGAATTTGAATGTAGAAAATCATATTGTTATTTAGAACACTTGAAACATGAGAAAGAGAAGTTTAAACCTATGCTTGGTAATAAGATGGAACCAAGAGATTCAAAATTGTTAATAGTACAGTCTCTTCGGAGACATCCGATAAAATTGGAACAATACAAAGACAATTAGCATTGGCCCCTGTGCAAGGATGACAAACACAAATCGAGAAATGGTCCAAATTTTATTGATCACAAAAATTGTTCATAGTACATGATGTCGATCTGTATCGTAGTTGTTTGAAACATTAAAAATAAAAACTAAAGTGGTTATAGCAGTCTAATTTGCAGTAAGTAGTAATGTGTTACTTCTAACTGGTCCTTTCCCATCTAGTTTTGTGGTTTTCTTGTATGACATCTCCTTTCCTTTTTGGGTTTTTTTTTGGCAGGATAGTTTATTGCTAAAGTTGCCTTAATTTCAGAAAGATTGCGATGTTCAGAACAGTTAAGTTATAGAAGTGGCCATAACTAAAGAAAACCTCGAGACATTATGTTATTCACCTTGTTATGTTAACCTGTTGTGATCTTATTATTTAGATGAGTCGATTTATCTTTTATCATTGTCCCAAAATATGGGAGTATTTCCAACTTGTTGCAATATTTCCAATACTTCCTAGATTTTTACAATCATTTTCAATAAGATGAATCCAACAATTCCGATATGCTTTGTTTTCTGATAGTGACTTTCAGTCAAGATCCAAATTATTTACTTCTAATCCTCCTGTATTTTTTTGGTAATTTTTTATATTGAGTGTCTAGCTAAGACATTGATTCTTCCTTTTCAGGTTATTTGACTCAGCAAAAGCTTTGGCTTTCAATAATGTTCCAACTCGCAAAGAGGTACTGACCACAAAATGGGTGAAAAGAAAAGAAGTGCTTTTGCTATGTTGTCTTTGTAGTTTTTGCAAGAGAATACTATGTAATCTTTTGAAACACATTACTAACTATGTGCTTGCAATATGATTGTAGGTTAAGGAAGCAATTTTCAAAACTCTCATTTCAAATAGCATGTTTGATAATGCACATATCCGACTGACTCTAACACGCGGCAAAAAGGTATGTCCCTCCAGCTTTTTTTAATTGCTCATGTGATTATTTCTTCCTTTTATTCTCTCTTCACTTTTCATGGGGTAAATATGGATTCAATCTGATAGTAGTGTGAGCTTGAGAGCTGTACTCGAAGTAGAGGAGAGGAGAAGAACACCACTGATATGCTGTGAATGTCGAACTGTACTGCCCAGTCGACCATGCTATTATTTATATTTGAATGTAGT